ATGGTGGCTGGACCTTCCTATATCACACTTAACAATTGAGAAAATGCCCCACAAACATGCCCACAGGACGAATCCAATGGAGGAAATTTTGGACATCTGAGATTCACTTACAATCTTCTGGGCTCCAAAGGGCTTGGGCAGCTCCACTTCTGGCTCTGCCATCCAAACACAACAGCTTGTCTCATAGGTTTAGGCTGGCTCCACTCCACCTGCTGCTGCCCTTCATGGTCCTGGTATCTTCATTGTGCTGGGGACTCCAGTATACCAGTCTGCACCTTCACTAATGACCTTTCATGGCCTCTCAGAGTGTCAAGCCTCAGCTGCTCTCCATGACTCCATGCTTTATAAAACCAGTACCATATAGGAGATTCTTAAACATTATCAAGTCCTGCTTTCAGCGTGAGTTGGAGCCTTGGGCCCTCTCTGGACCACAGCTGCTTGTGTGCTAACCCTGAGGAAATACTTCACAGAAGATTTCACTTCAGTGATGCTGGTCTCTTGTTACAGCTGATTTTCCAGCCTCAGCTGACTTGCATTGATTATCCCAGTAAAACATAAAAGGTTTCATTCCCATAAGTTCTTAATTCAAAATACATCACACAAACAGCCCTGGTAAAGTCTTTATTTCTCTTTGAAGTTTCACAAGCCAGGTCTCCATCATCTACACCTCTTTCAGCATTATCTTCCAAGTTCCTACAGATCACTGAACTCCAAGCACTCTTCCAGTCCAAAGCTCCAAGAACTTCTGCAGTCCTCCTAGACATACATACATGGTCAGGTCCATCACAGCAATAGCCCACTCTCTGGTACCAATTTTTGTCCTAGTTTGTTTTCAATTGCTGTGATAAAACACTGATCAAACCAACTTGGGGAGGAAACGGTTAATTTGGCTTACAGCACTGTCAATTGATAGAGGAAAGTCAAGGCAGGAACCTGAAGGCAGGTGCTGAAGCACAGACGATGAAGAACTCTGCTTACTGACTTGCTTCTCTGGCCTGTGCTCAGCTTTCTTTCTTAGACAACACTGGACCACCTGGCCAGGGGTGGTACCACCCGCAGTGGGCTGGGCCCTCCCACATGACTTAACAATTGAGAGAATGCTTCTTCACAGGTATGGCCACAGGACAATCCAATGGAGGAAATTCCTCAATTGAGGTTCCCTCTACCCAGGTGTGTCAAGTTAACAACTGAAGCTGTCCAGCACAACCTCCTAACCCTTAGTTCCTGCATGTATAAACTTACTTGGAAATGGGATCTTTACAAATGTACTCAAGATGAGTCTGAGAAAGGCCTTTTCCAATAGGAAGTTTCCAGAAGGTAGGACGTGACCAGGATGGCTTCTCCCCTATAGGTTTCGGAGGGTGTGTGGCCCTTTTGACACCTTAATGTGGGGTTTCTAAATTTCAGAGTTGGGAAAACAGCAAATTTTTGAACCCAATTTTTGGTACTTTGTTACAGTGACACTGGGAAACTAATGCCAACAATCAAATGTGTCCCCACCTGTGCTGGTCCATCTACTCATAAAGCCCTTCCCCAGACAACCTCCCCAAGTCCTTGTTCAGATACCACTTTTGCAGAGTTCACATCTGGTTACATGACTGAAAGTAGTGGTTCTGGCCTCTGCATTCTTTTGCCTTGTTTTCCTTCATGACCCTCAGTCATACCTGACATTATGTTGTGTGTCTTTTGTCTTTTCCATAGACAGTTGCCTGACTAACCTACAGACTATCCGATGGGCTCTACAGCTGTGTCTTCATTGGTGCTTGTTTGGTAAGTGAATGAGCTCGAGAATACGCTTGTTCACAATTCTGTCCTCTAGGTTACCTTTGCACCCTCCACTTTGCTCACACTCAGTTTGTGCATTAGTGGGCTCAAGACCCCTGTGGTTAAGCAGGGCTAGTCAAAACATGCAATGTTTTAGTTTAAACTTTTTGGCCTGTGTTGTAAAACAATTGGGACAATTGATCAGACTTTTCTGAGGGATCCTTATAGCTTACCATTTGTCACATGGATCACCAAATCCCTTCCCCTATTTTTCTGATTAAGGAGACAGAGTTGAGTAATCTAAATTTAGTTTGTATAGCCCAAAGGTGCCAATCATGGAAAATAATGAATTAGGGGACCCCCCCAACTACTGAGCTGAAAACACCAAATTCATTTTATTTAGAACCACAGGTTGAACTAGGAGGATTGTCTGTGACAGGCAAGCGCTTTATTCACTAATTAAGTTGCCCATGCTCAGACAAACCTCCCCGGTGGCAGGGAGGGTGGGAAGAGAGGGGTGGGGAGAGAGGAGTGGGGAGAGGGTTGTGGGGAGAGGGGATGGGAGGGTGCTGGGTGCAGCAGCTTATCTCAGTCAGCACAGAGGCTGTCTTCTCAGCCTTCTGTTTGCTAGTGGAATTGGTGTATAATTTTATTAAAGATGTATAAGCTAGGGGAGAAGGGAAACATATGTATACACAAATACATGTAAATCTCATATATTTCTACAAGTTTATTTAGCCTTTCAAGGGCTTTTCTGGTTTTCTGTAAATCTGCATTCAGAATTCACGATTCCTGGGTTAAGCAAACAAAACAACCCCATGTTTCTATCAGTTTTGAATAGGATTGATATAAAGTATATTTTATCTGCTTTCATTACATAAGAATAAAAGTTACTGATTGGATAGTTGTTGTATTTGATGTGAAGACAACCTCAAACTAGTATCAGTTTGTTTATGAGTCAAGAATGAATAAAATGAGCCAAGGTGTGGTGGTTCACACCTTTAATCCCAGTACTGGGGAGGCAGAGGCAGGCAGAACTGGATCTCTGTGAGTTCAAGGCTAGTCTGGTCTACATAGCGAGTTCCAGGACAGCTGGGGCTACCGGGAGACACTGTCTCAAGAGAAAACAAACAAACAAGCAAAATGGCTTGACCCGGTTGGTGGCTCAGGCCCGCAGTCCCAGCTCTTGGGGAGGCTGAGGCAGAAGGATGGCAAGTTCAAGGCCTACGGGGACTTCCGTGGTACCTCGGGGTTAGAACAAAAGTGAAGTGTTACTTTCTTTTTGTTTTTATTGTGTGATGTGTGTGTAGGTGGTTCTCTCCTTCCACTATGGGTTTCAGGAATTGAACTCAGATTGTCAGGCTTGCACAGAAAACCCTGGTACCTGCTGAGCCATCTTGCCCAAGTTTTCCTTTCAGTTATAACCTATGAATCCATAATATGTGCATCAAGAAGTTTTATACACAAAGAATTTTTATTATTGTTATGATTGTATTGCCTGCATGTATGTGAGTGCACTGTGTCATGCAATGCTGCGGAGGTCAGAAGAGGGCTTTGGATTCCCCAGGAACTGGAGTTAAGGATGGTTCGTAGCTGCCATGTGGGTACTGGGAATGGAACCTGGGTCCTCTGTAAGAGCAGTCAGTGCTCTTAACCACTGAGCCATCTCTCCAGCTCCCACAAAGAATTTTTTAAAGTCAGAAAATAAATGTAAATAAAATGAATGAAATATGTTTATTCATTTTTGAAGTGGTATTAGTGATAAAGCATTTTGCTAGTTCCTTTCTCTTTTCTAGTCATACACAAGTTTAACCTGTTGTAGCAGCTGATTTTGTGAGAGTTGGCCACATTTTGCCTCATCACTAATCTTTAGCATGTCCCTGGGAGGAGTCAGAATCCCATGTTATCTCCACTTAGCAGGCACTCAGTCAGGATGGCCTCCCAGAGGGGACAGGAAAGACTTTGTAACCCCCGGGTTTTCCCAATTCTGTGGCCTTGTCTATACTTTTCTACCACCACATTTTTGAATGTAGAGTAGAGCCTCTTTATAGTAATTTATTTAGAAAAAATAGGTCCCAGCTTTAGATGGGTAATACTTTTTTATCCATAAAGATCATCTTTTTATCTAGAGAGCAACCTCAAATTAATATTTTGGTTATGAGAGTCAAGAATTGGGAAAATGGCTTGGATTGGTGGCTCAGGCCCTGCGTTCCAGCTACTAGGGAGGTGAGGCCTGGGCAACTTAGCAAGACTGTGTGTGTCTCAAAATGAAATGGAGAGGGCTGAGGATATAGCACAGTGGTAGAACACTTGCCTAGCATATGTGAGGCTTGGGGTTCAATCCCAGCACTTGGGGGAGGGGGATACACTTATTGGAGGCAATTTGATACTCGGAGCAAATTTTACTCTCATTTTAGGGAACATCATGTTTGAATTTGAAGATCCTGTAGGTAATATGAATTACAATCCATTTTACATTTTATTCTGGGCTTATAAGCACAGGAAAGACAAATTAATTAAACCAAGAGCAAATTTTAGCCACAGAAAACTGGTGTTAGGTTGAGACAGACTCATTTTTTCAGCCAACTTACCTACCTCCCTCTCTTCCCCCAAGTCTACTTCAGGACTTCATACATGAGTCTCAAGGTACAATAACTCCTCTCATACTCTACTTTCTTCCTTCCTAACTGAGTATTTGAAAATACTATTGTTCTTGTTACTTTTTGTCTTTGCACAGCCCATTGTCAATCCCTCAGTCTGCACTTGCCAGCCTGACTTCCACTTTTTCTAATGCTCATGAAATATCAGCAATATCATGCCCACTTTTTTTGTCTCAAATTCTGCTATAGAGGTGCTGCGAAGAAACCGAATAATGACAGTATTAAAAACAACAACAACAAAAACCCTTTTTCTATTCTAGAAACAAAACAGTGCACGCTTGTGTTGCAGAGAGGCAACAGCAATCTCAAATCTAAGGCACAGTAATGGAAACCTAGAAAATCGTGGCTGTCATTCTTGCCACGACCAAGTTGGCAAGGAATTCAACAGGAAGACTGTCCAGCGCAACGAATCTAGCGGGACTTGGGTGCGGTGACCTGTTACTGGGGAGCTGGGGGCCCCATCTGTTCCTGGCCAGCTTCCAGCCTGGGCTTTATCGGCCACCCAGGCCTCTTGGCCACGCCCACCATCAGGTCACGCCTCCCAGAAGGCGGGTCTCCGTCGGGTTCCGCCCCCTCCCCTCTCCGGTGGCTAATGAGCAGGCGCGTGGCGCCTTGCTTCGGTGAGCCGCGGTGATAAGGCCCTGGGGTGCGGGTGGGGAACGTTCCGGGCTCGGTGCTAGCTGGGACGGTACCGGAGGTTCCGCCGCGGGAGATCCCTGGTTGTCCCGGAAATGCTTTCGGCCGGCACCAACATGGCTGCGGCCCTGCGAGCTGCAGGCGCCCTGCTCCGCGAGCGGCGTAAGTGAGGTTGTTGCGGCGGTCGCCGTGGGTGGGGACCATGGGAGGAGAGGGGCGCCTCGGCCTGTGCACTAGGAGGAGCACGTCGCGCCGCTTGGGAATCCGGGAGGCCGCAGACTCCAGCCAGCTCTGGAGCTCCAAGCAGTAGCTGAATTTTTCAGAACTTTAGTTATTGTGTCCGTAAAGATTGCTCGGGGGATTACAGGAAGGGAGGGTCTGTTCAGGACCTGTCACCTAAAGAACCGCAACACCGGTATCATTGTCCTCACCACCCCGGCATCTGCCTTGCAGTTCCCTCTCTGCCGATGGAGGTCATTGGATGCCCACCGCTGCTCCGTTCTGACCATCGGCATCTCGTCTGGCAGCAGGACCCATCCTGGGGCAGCCAGAGTTTTCTAGGGATATTTGCAAAACAAATGAGACCTCACGTGGAGTTGGTACACACTGTGGACATAGATTGTGCTCATTGGATGAACTGATGGGACGCTGGGTCAGCTACAGCTGGTTGGGGCAGAATTGAGCAAGGACACTGAACCAGCGTCCCAACTTAATGCAAATGAAGAAAAGTGATAGAAGTTTTCCATGAAAAGTAGGACATGGGTGAAGCAGAGACAGTGCTTAGCACACAGTGGGTACATCGAGACTCTCAAAGTGTCCAGTTATTGACGTAAAAGGCTGCCACAAGCGGGATGCATGTTTAATGCATCAGAAGAGTGGTTAGACACAAACCTGACCTATTTTAAAGGAATTTCCTAATCTGCCAATTTGGCACCTACTTGGAGTGGAGAGAGTGTACTCTGGACCTTGGCATGTTATTGCATGTATCTTTGCTATGAGAATATTAAGAACTCAAGGTACAATGAAGATCAGCTCACTAAGCACACTGGGAACAAAAGGCATTATCTTTAAGAGGCAGGAGCAGTGTCATTAATGGGCTGAAAGAAGTACGGAGTTAATCTTTTCTTTCACCAATCTTTCCAGTGGCAAATAAAGTCCGACAGACCCCAGATTGGAGGTCATGGAGCAATCTGAGAAACGAAATTATATTACTGTGTAAGTCATAAGTAGCTAAGTGGGAGGATTCATAAAGCATGGCACTGTATTTCAATTTTATCTGTGTTACAGGCTCCAATATATTTTTAAATATGTTTTTATTCATTCTGAGAATTTTGTACATGCGCACAATGGATTTTGATCACATTCACCCCCAACTCCTTCCAGGTCCACTCCCACCCCCTCCCAACTTCCTGTCCTCTTTTTTTTTTTCTTAACCCACCAAGTCCAATTTGTGCCACCCAGTGGGGTCATCCACTGGAGCATGGTCACCCTACCAGGGGTGCACCCTTATAAAAAAAATTCTTCCCCCTAGAAGCTGTCAACTGACAAGAGCTCTTCAGCTGGGAGTGGGGACTAGTGACCCTTCTTCCCTTCATGCTAGAGTGTAGACTGGCTTGATCTAGTACAGGTCTTGTGTAGGCATCCACAGCACAGTGGATTCATGAGTGCCATAGTCCTGTCCAGAAGACACTGTTTACACTCTAGCTCTGGGGTGTGTGTGTGTGTGTTGTCATGCCTGTGTCGTGTCGTGTGTTGTGCCCCCCCGCCCCAGCCTCTGGCTCTTACAGTCTTTGTACTTCCTTTTCTAAGATGGTCCCTGAGACTTGGGGGAGGTGTGATATAGATGACCCATTTGTGGCTGAACACTTCATAGATGCTTATTCTCTGTGCTTTGACTAGTTGTGAGCTTCTGTGTTAACCTCTCAGAGTCCAAATTTTTTCAATGTATATTTTTTGATTTTTTTTTTTTTGGTCTTTTTGAGACAGGGTCTTGGCATATGCTTTTAATCCTAGCACTCAGGATGTGGAAACAGGAGAAACAGGAGTTCAAGGCCAGCCTTGGCTACATAGTACCCTGTCTCAAAACAAACCCCGAACAGGGCTGGGAATGTAGCTCATTTGGTAGAGTGCTTGCATGCCTAATGAATCTCTGGGTTCTGTCCCTAGCACCACATAATCAGGGGTGATGGCACATGCCAGTAACCCTAGAACTTGAGAGGTGGAGGCAGGAGGATCAGAAGTTCAAAATCATTCTAATACCTAGGAGTTTGAGAGCCTCCCAGGATATATGAGAGCCTGTATCATACAAACAAAACAATAAAATAAAAACAAAAAACAAAACCAGAATGGCTACCAAAGCCTGGGAAGCCCCACCCACAGTCCCTTCTTCTAAGATTCTGTAGGACCCTATTTATTTTTTACTAGTATATATTATGTATACACATGTATGGGTGTCACTGTGACATTTTCATACAAACACCCCCTCTGTTATCTCCTCTTGCCACCTCTCCCCTCCTCCCCATGCCTTTCCATATCTCTAAAAGCCCAGGAGTCCCAGCAGGATAAGTCCCAGTAGGAAGGATCCCTTATAAGCACCATTGCTCAACTCTCTCAGAATTTGATCAGCCACAGACAAGAGAATTTTGTAGGCAAGGACATGACAATAGTTATGAAGCTTGCAAAGCTACTAGTTCCCAAATTATACTAGGAAACCCTAATGTCCTAGGATGGAGAATCTAGTCTCTATCCCCCGGCTTTCTCCCCATTCCTTTTTTTAGGTTCACAGAAAGAAATCTTATTTATGACTATCAGTGAGAATTCTCTTCTTATTCCCCCCACCCCCGAATCTGATGGAATCTCATTCGTACAGGGACTTGGAGACATTGCAGCATGATTGAATACCTGGTTAAATCTCATCATGTAGTTCAGAATTAAACTTGTCTGAAACGAGCAGATGTGTGTTGTTTGAGATTTCATTTGAGTGGAATTGAACTTCTTTACATCAATCTTTCAACGTCTACTTTGATTTAGTAAGGCTTACTCGGCATAAGCTCATGTAATTCACTCTTCTGGGAATATGCACAATCTGTTTTTGGTTTATTGGTTTTGAAGCAAGGTCTATGTAATCTAGGTGGGCCTCAAACTAGAGATCCTCCTGCCTCAGCTTCCTGAGGGCTCAGATTACAGGTGTGCACTACCATGCCTAGTGAATCTGTACAATCTGGAGAGAAAGAAATCTAGGTGGCCGGGAGATAGCATTTTCTTATGATTTGTACTCATGCTGGGTGGTTTGAAGAAGTCAGAGCAGGTGTGGTTGTTCTTCTCTAGACTTATAATGAAACAGGTTCAGGTGACTTCCCCTGGCCCACACCCTACTCTTGTGGGGGCCAGGTCAATCGTATATACAAGGGCATGTGTATCAAACATGGAGTAGCAAGCCAACAATTTGGAGTATATTCTGGCCTCCAGTATTAACCAATAGTCCTTCATAACCACCTGGAAGGATGAACTTGAACTCTTCCAAGCTCCTGCAGAGAGGAGCCTTGGGTGGGTGGATCCGCAGGTTTCCTGCTTCTCCCACTGCCAACTCTTTCCTACCACTCCTTGGCAACCCTGCAGGCCAAGAATTGCTTACAGGGATGGCAACATCTGCCCACAGGAGGAGGGAAGCAGAGAAGAAGCCTGGGTGGACCCTGGAATTGAGTGCAGGGTTGGGGGTGTGGGGAATTCTTGAGTCCTGGATCCTGAGAGGCTTCACTGTCATGTGGAATGTGGACTCTGAGGAGCTCTGCACCTCCTGGGGCAGGATTCATTGAGAAGAGAGCAAGAGCAGATTCTGTGTAACAAGAGGCCCAGAGTCCCCTCCCTCCCCCTTGTCAAAGCCCAAGGCGATACTGGGGTCCCATCATCCATGCTTTTACTCAGAGGACTTGAAGGCTGAAGTGAGATCTGCAGCGAGAAGGATACTGGCCCAGATTCTGCGCTAAGTGGCCTGAAATCAGTAGCTCCTTACCTTTCTGGGGTGTCCTTACCTCTTCTCTAAGGATCATCTCTAGTGTCTGTAACATTCTGAATGTATATCGGTTCTTGGGTGAGATCATCACAAAACCTGCAGCCAGGACAGGGTGAGGTGTGTGTGGCTTCTAAAAAGAAGCCTTAATGCTTTTACCTGCCTGTAGAGAAATGCTAGGAAAATCTCCTCTGCCTTTGCACCTCTTTAAATTTTAAAGCCCAGAATTAAGCCCTGAGGACCTCTTCAGAAGAAATTACTTTCCAACTTGATTTCATGCTAGCACTTTGATTTTGTCACAGTGGTACATGGCAGCTCGAGGGCCCATCGGACATGGAAGTGCCATTTGGGTACAGCATCTGCGGCAGCTACCACAGAGCCAGTTCATCGACTCAAAAGTGCAAAACCTGAAGCTCAACCGGAAAAGAGGTATGAGTCTAACTTTAGGCACAAATAAGGGTTTCTCTTTGTTATTACAAACACTAGTGGGTTCAAACAACTGAGGAGGAGAGGTACTGGGAAAATCCAATATATTAGCAATGGTATGTTATTTTCTTGGCTTCCTTTTGACAACTGTTAAACTCTGGGCTTTAACACCCCTTACTCTCCAACAGGGCTTTTGTTAAAGGACACATAGTTGAGTATAGCCTCTAAGAGTTTGACCCTAGTATATGTCATATATAAAACCAATTATATGTATTCTGGAACCTAACATATTTATGGCTATAAAATGTCTGTCTTGTACAGGATAAAGAGTAGCTGCTGACCTATCAAGAATTTCTACTGGAGAATCTATTTTAACTTTTTTTTTTTTTTTTTTTGGTCTTTTTGAGACAGGGTCTCCCTGTAGCCCCAGCTGGCTTGGATTCGCTATGGAGACCAGGCTGGCCTCAGACTCCCAGAGATCCACCTGCCTTTGCCTCCTGAGTGCTGGGATTAAAGGCTTGTGCTATTTTAACTTTTAACCCGAACATAATTGTCAATAATATGCTATTGTTTATAATTGATTAGGGATATAGAGTATGTGTTTCATACCTCACTCTTGGAGTTTGCTAGTGGAGGCGGAAGCCATGATGTTCCTGCGTGGTCTCTTTAACAGCAGAAGCCACATCTACCCTTTGTTAGGTTTTGGATTGCAGGGTGTAGAGGGGTTCAAAAGGACAGTGAGACAGATTACTTGGGGGAGTAAGGGGTTTATTAGAAGAGTTAAAATGCCATGGACAGACAGGCAACAGCATGGTGGGGGCTCCAGGGGGAGTTCATACCCAGCACCAGAGACAGCATGGCAGGGTCTCTGAAGAGAGGAATCAGAGTGCAGGTAGCAGAGGATGGGCCTCATAGCTCTTTGAGGATGGGGGAGGTTTCACAGCCAGAGCCTGCAGCAAGGCTCCCTGATTCCCAAGCTGGAGGCAAGGAAGGAGGTGGGAAATAGGATGTACAGCTTTGATAAAAACTCACTTCCAAGGTGAGATGTCCTGGCATCTGGAAGTAACTGGGGACTCACAGAGAATGTTACAGTAGGCTGCCTGTCAGTATCAGTGAAAGGGGGAAAGGAGGCTGCTGCAGAAATTGTGGGCTGAGCAGAGGCTAGATACTGGCCGCATTCATATACCCTCAGAGCCTCCTCTATAACACAGGGAAAGCAGATTTTATACAGGCAAGTTGTTTAGATCTTGTAGAAACGACACCTTTAACACCAGACAGGGTAAAAGAAGGAAACTAACTGTGGTTTATGTGACATCATTTTAGGAGTTACATAGCCATGAATTTTGTGTTTGTTATGTTTTATTGTGCATTTGGGTTCACTGATTGAATGTTAAGTAACCTGAGTTTTCTTGAGGATAGGGAATTAGGAGTGGATCCCAAATCCCTTCCTCTCAACTCTGCCTTCCTAGAAGATGCATTAATGAGGAGAGCAGGAAGCACAGACAGCTCAGGATGTGGCCAAACAGCACGCTGGTCCTCTTGGTCCCTTAAGAGTTGGAAAAAGAATTAGTGTGAATTGAAGAACTGATTCAGTGTGGAACCTTGAAAGAAAATTCATTATCTCATTGCTATATTTTTCAGTGACAAAAGTCAGTAACATAAATAGCCTTACTATTAAATTGTTAAGGTTAATTAAAAATATAAGCCTTAGGTTCTATTAACTTTATATAATATTTATTTTTTTAATCTTTTAAAAATATTTTATTTATTTTTTTTATGTGTATGAGTATATTGCCTGCATGTATGTAAGTGCACCTATGTCATGCAGTGCCCACGGAGGTCAGAGGAGGGCGTTGGATTCCCTGGAACTGGGTGCTGGGAATCAAACCCAGGTCCTCTGCAAGAGCAGCCCATGCTCTTAACCGGTGAACCATCTCTCCAGCCCCTAATTTTATATAATATTTATGCAAAATAATAGAAAATGCAGATGGAAAGAAAAGATTTAAAAATCACATTAATCTTACTATCTAGCATTTTTGTCTCTCTATCAATTCCTTTCTCTCTCTCTCTCTATATATATACACGCACACACACACACACACACACACACACACACACACACACATACCTATATTGAAATGTGACAATACTGTGCATATCATTTTTATAAATTTCTCTTTCTGTTTACTGCCACCATGTATCTATAAATATTTTTCTATATTGTTTTAAGTGTATTAGTTACTTTTCTTGTTGCTGTGATGAATATCTAATAAAATCAACTCAAGGAAGGAAGGAAGGGTTTATTTTGACTCAGAGTTCAAGGATACAGTCCATCATGGTGGCAGGAGCAGGAGGTGACTGATCACATTGCATCTACACTCAGGAAGCCAGAGAGATGAGTGCTGGTGCTCAGTTCACTTTCTACTTTGCATTCAGTCTGGGGTGCCAACCCATGGAATGGTGCCACCTACAGTTGGGTGGACCTTCCTACCTCAGTCAGCTCAGTCTAAAAATTCCCTTACAGGCATACTCAAAAGTTTGTCTCCTCTGTGATTATGTCCAATCAAGTTGACAATCAGTATTAACTATCTCAAATAGTTTAGGAGTATTTTATTAAATCATACTTATTTATCCAAGCCCACATTCCAGACATTGTTTAGTTCTAGCTTTGATATTTGAGATGCTGAAGTAATAAGAATCCTTAGGGACCATTTTGATGTCAGGCCTTTTGAACCCCTTGAAGACATTGTGTTGCTTAGTACTTGGTTTAAGCTGGTCTACAATGCTAGGCTAGCTGCCACACTAGATTAGGGGTCCACAGGCTTGTTCTGTCAGGGATTTGGTAATTATTTTTTTAGGTTTTACAGGCCATACCATCTCCTTTGCTGCTCTTTTTACCTTTGCTGTTATAATATTAAAGCAGCCATAGATAAGATGGATACATAGGAATTGAGCTGAGTTCTAATTAAACTTTATTTCTAAAAACAAGCTGGGGAGCTGTAAATGTGGTACAGTGATCGTAGCTTGCTGAATTCTGTTCTAGGGATAGTATAGATCTACAGGTCACTTACATCTTGTAGGGTTTGTTTTTTTTTTGTCTTTTTGAGACAGGGTCTCCCTGTAGTCCCAGCTGTCTTGAACTCACTATGTAGACCAGGTTGGCCTTGAACTCACAGAGGTCCACCTGCCTCTGCCTCCCAAGTGCTGGGACTAAAAACGTGCGCCACCATGCCTGGCACATCTTGTAGGTTTAATGAAAAACTGAGATTTTATTTCTTTTCATTGATGCTGTCTATATACTCTAGAATTAAATTACTGTTAATTGACGAGCTTTATTTTCTATTATGCACATTTTGTAGTTCAAAGGAAAAGCCTTATATTTTGGAAGTCTCAGAATATAACAAAAGCAAAGTATTGAACTTTTCCAAGTAAGTTTTAAGTATGTATTACTGGGTACACATTTATATTCAAACAAAGGGAGCCTTGGCCAGTCAGACCTTGGCCTCAGGTGTGGTCTGTCTGGAGGGGAAAAGAGACAGAGACCCTTGATGGAAGCTTTGCACTTCATACTCTGAAATAGAACAGAATTCGACTAGGGCTTGCTAATGCGCCATTCATTATGCACAACACAGTTTTGAATTAAGTGCATGTGTATTTGTGCATTTTCAAATCATATGCGTGTTTCATGTATAAGATCAACATTACTTTGCAAAACGTGAGCAGGGCAGAGTAACATCCGCTTTAAAGCCACTCTTGTTCTGAGCTCAGGTGTTATAGATGGAAAACACAGTTCTAAATCCCGTTTGCACATTGATACCCTCTGTGACTTTAGGTAAGTCTTTTAGCCTGGGGTTTTTACCCAGTAATCTGTTGACTGGCAACAATCCATGGGAAAATGCACTTAATTTATTAGGAGTCACAGATTTTGAGGGTAAGAGACAGGAACTCAAGAGAAGATGGGTGGTCTAAATAGGAAGATTAAGGGAATATTCAGTTTCACCAAGTGATATGCCTAAAATTTTTAGGTAAAAAGAAAACCCAGTACCTCTGTTAGTTTAGTGTTAACATTTTTTTGTGAAAATTTTTTTGTGGGAGCTGGGAAGATGGCTCAGTAGGTAAAGTGCTTGCTGAGCAAGCATAAGGACCTGAGTTCAAATCCCTACCACCCACATAAAAGCTGGGCACAGGGATATGTGTCTAATTCCAGGCTCAGATGGTGGTAGTGGCCGGGGGGGACCTGGAGATGAGAATTCTAGGGCTCACTGGCCAGCCAGTCTGGACAAATTGCTGTGCTCTAAGTTTAGTAAGAGACCTTATTTCAAAAAAATAAGTTGGAGAACAACAGGGGAAGACACCTGACATCAGCTGTTGGCCTCCACATGTGCACTTATGGGTATGTGCACCCCCTCCACCACACACAGACATTTTGTAACATCATCTTCAGTGTGGTTTAGTAAAAGGAGGATTAGACCTCTTCCTCTAAGACAGTGGTCTCAGCAGGGGCTTGAGGAGTATTTTCTTCTTCACAAGACAAATCTAACAAGGTCTGAGATATTTTTGGTTGTCACAGCTGAAGTGGGGTGTGTGCCACTGCCACCCAGTAGGTAGAGGCCAAGGACATTACTAAACATACTGCATTACATAGGAGAATCCTTTACGGTGAAAGGTTATCTAGCTTAAAATGTCAGTGGTGCTGAGGCTAAGAAACCCTGGCCCAAGATGAAGTGAAAAGTGATCCTTATTAATCTTTATAATGGGATCTAAGTAGAACCCCTGGCCTCATTGTACCATTTCTCCTTCTCCATCAGATGGTTCTTTTTTAAAATATTTTATTTATTATTTTTATTTTATGTGTATGTGTGTATTGCCTGCATGTATGTAAGTGCACTCCTGTGTTGTGCAATGCCCGCGGAGGTCAGAAGAGGCTGTCGGATCCCCTGGAACTGGACAGTTGTTAGCTGCCATGTGGGTGCTGGGATTCAAACCCTGGTCTTCAAGAACAGTGTTCTTAACCACTGAGCCATCTCTAGCCCTGAGATGGTTCTTATTCTGAAGTTTTGAATTGAGAATTCAGATGTCTATCTTACTCACCATGAGGTATTTGAGCAAGAAAGTGTTTCCACCAATATAAATTTGGCACCCTCTGTTGCCCAACATTATTGCCAAGTGTTGTTAACAGTTGTTTAAAATAGCCAGTGAAGATGCCATTGTAATAGCATTAGTTTCAGAACACATTAACAGTGGCCTTCTAGAAGATATCCATGTCTGCAGAGTTGGTTCAGTCACTGTGGTAAGGAATGGTCTGATGCAAGGGATTTAAGTGAATCCCCAGCATTTGTAGCAGTGGTATTCGAGGCAAACTTCTGGCTAGTTGTTTCTTACCTGGTTAGATCAAGAGAAAATGGAAGAAGAGGGCAGAAAGAATGTAAGCGCTGGAGGATGGGGAGGAGTGCTGTGAAACACTGTATTCTGGACATGGCATGGCTGTCACACTCATGAACTTGCAGCAGCTGTGGATATCTGCGCAAGATCTATACAAGACTTTACCCATCAACATTCCAACACAGATGGGGAAGGGACTTGGGAGGCTCTATCCCTCCTTGAGGAGCTGTTGGTAGTTAATGGTTCCTGGGGGAGGAAGAGTCATTTTCCTCAGTGCTGTAGCCACTAGTGAGTTGCTGGATCTCCCCACCCATGCCCATGCAAATAATCCTAATTAAGTCCAGTGGGTCACACAAAAACAAGTGAAGAAGGAGGGGGACTTGTAAAGAAGGGGTTCAGGGGGAGTGGGAGGGGCAAGCCAGGGTTATGGATCAAGAAGGCCAAAATACATTATATACGTGTATGAAGTTGTCAAAGATAAAAAGTACTTTAAAACTAAATGATGAGACTATCTATAGACAAAACTATTAGACCAGATTATTATAGCCTAGATTAGTTAGCAATTCCAAAGCAACAAAGTACTCATTCTTGTTGTAACATGGAGACATCTTAGACATTTTACGTGAAGCAAAATAAACCAGACAGTTATGTGATTCTATTTGTGTGAAATATCTTGAATATGTAAATTCAGAGACCTAGAAAAATAGATCAGTGGTTGCTAGAAGTGAGGGGTTAAGGACTAGGGAGTTATGACAAAAATGTCGTAGGAAGTTTACAACATTGTGAAATATAGTAAAAACCACTGAATTTTTCATTTTAAAGTGGTGAACGGTATGATACGTGAACTTTATCTCAATTTGAAAAAAAAATAAGGAACAGAAGAAACATTCCTGTGTGATTCTTACAGCCAGCACATGGCCCTCCCTTTTGGGGACATGCCAGACCCCTGATTCTCTGTGGCCCAGCCCAGACTGCCCTTCTGGCCCTGAGTTTCTGATCATGGTCTTCTAGAGCTTTGGGAGGAAGCTGATTCTGCTCTGGGCTTTAGATCAGGCATAATTTCATAACAGACTGAAGAGAAGCGAACAGATCAGAGTGAGAGACAGGCTCATGCTGTATTTTGGAGGGTTAAAATGACAGGAATACTTTTCTGTGTGGCAGAATTTACTGTGTGTTAGATCCACTGAATTCTCTGAGAACTTTTTATGGTAACTGGTAGACTTTCTTTTTAGCATACGAAGAAACTTTAATTTTTGGAAAGTCAGGAACTTGTGTATTCTTTAAGGCACTTATATGTACAGATCCTTTAACCTCAGGATAGTTTTAGATTTCTAGAACTTTCCCTAAAGAATTGGATCTTTGTTCAGGACTGACAGGGGAATTATAAAACTTTGAGCCCAGTGAAGTCCAGGGTCAGGGATGGAATCAAGAGACAAGGCTTGGAGTCTGAGGTGGGGCAGCAGAGGCCTGTGTCTCCAGGTAGACAGCACTGGCAGCAAAAAGGCAAGAGGTTCTTTCCTGTGTGTCGGCATTAGATGAGAGTCCATCAGCTGAACTGAGCATCTGCCATAGAGCAAGTGAGAGCCATGACAAATGGACTGTTGCATTTTATTTTTTGTAGGAAGCCCAAAACCGGAATCTTAATGCTAAACATGGGAGGCCCCGAAACCCTTGGAGAAGTCCACGACTTCCTACTGAGGCTTTTCTTGGACAGAGACCTCATGACACTTCCTATTCAAAAGTAAGATATGTGTGAACACCTGCACATTTTTTAATATGTATAATACATGCTGTGCATTTGGTTTTATGTAGCTCAGCTCTATACAGATCGAGGAATGGTTTTAATGCATGTCTGATGGTGGTCATGGCCCCACCTTTATCTTCAGTTGGGAATCAGAAGAAAGGTGAACTGCAGGGGAGAAAGCCAGTTCATGAGCACTCTCCTTGAGCCTTCCCTCCCCAGAGCCCTGAAAATTATAGTTGTCTTGACACAGCTGAAGTACCTTTAAAGATTTTTAAAGATATATTTGTACTTGGCACTTAGCAGCTGATTAACAGTTGGAGAAGCAGTGATTATTCCTCCTTTGTGTTTGGCTGAGGATTGTGGTCATGCTCCTTTTTCCATTCTCTCTAAATTATGCTCCGTCTTTTTCTTCCAAAAGAGGTTTTGCAATGAAAAATTAGTACGTGCATATGACTAAAAATGCAAATAGTATACAAATATTTATGCTGAAAAGCAAATGTCCCTTTCACTTTGAATTCTAGCACCATTAACCAAATACAAGCACTGTTTTATTTGAAATAGTTCGTGCATTTCCAAGGTATACACGACTGTCCCTCCCCCACTTTGTTACACAAATGTGAATACAGTTGTATATGCTGTTTGGCACTTTGCAATGTAAGTTAACTCTAAGTATTCATATCAGATTATATAAATCTGGCTCATTTTTTCATGACTGTTTAGAATTGCATTGTATGGTTGTATCTTTGTTTAAACTATATTTCATTAGTAGACAGTTGTGTACAGTGTTGCAGTAAACCCTGTTTTGTGTACCACACTCCCTACATATGCAACCAACCTATTGGATTAATGTTCATTTTGTTAAATTAAGAGGAATGTGGACTGGGGTGATGGCTCAGAGGACCCGGGTTCAATCTTTAGAACTCACAAATTAAAAAAAGAAAGAAAAAGAAAAAAGAGAAAAAGGCCAATAATCCCAGCACTGGGTAAGTGGAAACAGGCAGATCTCTAGCCTGCTTGGTGAGTTCTAGGCCAGTGAGAGACCAGAGACAGGGGCAGGCAGATCTGTGAGTTCCAGGCCAGCCAGGGCTACACAGTGAGATCCTGTCTCCAAAAAAAGGAGAGTAATGTATGACACTTAAAAGTGAGAATGTGTGTAGCTGTGGTAAAGAAAAGAAAAAACTGGCTAGAAGTTGATGTAGTTCTGTTAAAAAGTGATTTCAGTGCAAATTGATAGACTCAGCTTGTTTGTTGGCTTGCTAGTCAGGTCTCAGGAATTTCATTCCCTTTGTCCTGACTCTGTTGTCTTAGAATATTATTAGCTCACTTGCCAATTGAGGAGAGATTGAGAAAGTTTATTACAAAGTGCTCTTAAGGTAGTCTGAGACTAGAAAAGTACTTAGATAAGTTTAGAGATAAACTTATCTTTGTATTAGTACAGAGCATGCCTAGATATTTATAATAAGTAGATACATTTCTCTCTGAAATAGTGAGTTTTTTACAAGATTTTACTTTAAAATTTATGTATATGGATGTCTGTCCCTGTGTGAGTGGAGTCCAGAAGAGTAACAACCCTGGAGCTGGAAGTACAGGTGGTTTTATGATGCCCGGTATGGGCAGGTCCTTTGCAAGAACAGTACATGTTCTTAATCACTAAGCCATCTTTCCAGCCCAATAGTGAGGGTTTTACACCCGAGAATTCTGACATTTAATCCCTGGACCTCTGTTTAGTATTGCGCCTTCTATTTTCTTCAGTCTGGTTCTGTATTTATTATGCATGTGTGTATGTATGGGGGCCTGCACATGCCGTGGAGGGACCCACATGGTGGAAAGAAAAACTGACTCTTACAAGTTGTCCTCTGATCTTCACATGTGCTCCATGGTATCACACACTCACACACACACACACACACACACATACATACACACTAAATAATAAATATATATATATGTATATAAACAGTTTTTTAAAAAGAGCAATGTATGAACCAGGCTTGGGGATGCAAGAGGCTGAGGCAGTGGTATCCAGGGCCTTCCTGGCTACAGTATGAGTGCAAGGGCAGTCTAAGTAACTTGTTGAGATCTTGTCTCAAATTTGAAAAAGATGGGGGCTGTAGCTAAGAGGTAAAGTGCTTGCCTAACATGTATGAGGTCCTAGATTCGGTCTCCAGGACCACAGAAGCAAAACGGTGTGTGTTTCCTGTGCTTTTTAGCCTAATTCTTGTTAGATGCAGAATCAACCTATAAGGTGGCAGCTAGCAGCACCCAGGTCAAGGACATCAGGTGTCCTGAATCTCCAGGATAGTGCTAGAACAGTTTGTGGAATGCAGAGGTGAGCTCTCAAATCCATGTTGTATTGTTAGGGACCTCTAGAAATTCTCTCCTTAAAGGTTGGTCTTGTTAGGGTCTCCTTAAAACTTTGCTCATCTCTTCTCTATTGGGTAGAAAATGATTCTTGGGTTGCTAAGGTAGAATACAATCCACTGACATACATGTTCAATGATTTAGTAAGCTGGCACCATTCATCGCCAAACGCCGAACTCCCAAAATTCAAGAGCAGTATCGCAGGATTGGAGGTGGATCCCCCATCAAGATGTGGACTTCTAAGCAAGGAGAAGGCATGGTGAAGCTGCTAGATGAGCTGTCCCCCAACACAGGTATGGCGTTCCCATTAGCATAGTGCTGGGCTTGTTAAAGTAGAAATTCAGACAGGCACTGTAATCCCAGCACATGGGAGGCAGAGGTAGGAGGCCGATCTGGACTACAGAGTGAGACCCTGTCCAAAACCAAAACCAAAATGGTAACACATGCTGTGTGTGCACTAGCAACTCTATGTATATCTGTATGTATATGTAGTGTTTGTACGGATTCACATGTGTATGTGGGTGTGTATATTCATGTGGGTGTGCCTGCATGTGGAGGCCCAAAGTTGATGTCAGGTGTCTTCTTCAACTGCTCTCCATTTTATTTTTTGAGACAGAGTCTCTCAGTTGAACTCAGAACTCACCAGTTCAGCTAACCTAAGCTAGCCAGCTTACCCTAGGGATGTCTCGTCTCTGCCTCCCAGGTGTTGGGGCTACAGTGGCCAAGCCACACCGGCCTGGCTTTTATGCGAGTGCTGGGAATCCAAATTCCAGTTTTTATGCTTGCACCACAAGCACTTTACCCACTGAACCATCTCCCAGGCCCACTAGTAGCAACTCTTGCTCTTTGAGTTTCTGTAATATATTTTACATGGTCACTTGACTGAATTCTCAAGCACTGTCCTTTGACTATAGAAACTTTTCTATTACTTTCAGTGTTACAAACCAGCAAACTAAAAATGTGGAACATGTTTCAAAAGGAAATTCAAGGTTAAGTTGAGTTAGATAAAGCATAAGCAATATACCATAAATAGATGATACATCTATCATTGCTCTGAAATCTTTGGGAAATGGATTGAGGCTGTTGCTATGGTCTTTTCTTCTAGTTGTATAGTAATTAGAGAAGAGCTAGCTAGCTGTGATTGACACTTCAAGACACTAAGCAACTTGAGCGCAACACTACCACTATGAGATACTGAGGCACCACTTTATGTGTTTGATTCTAGAAAGAGAACTGGAGACGTCCAGTAGCCGCTCTGTGAGAACCTCTGCACAGAATAGTCTTGCCCAGAATGAAACATTAAATGAAGGACTAAACTGCAAGTGCTACATTTAATCCCAGCCAAGATACACTTGATTGTAGGACACACACCATTATTTTAGTATAATACTCAGGCATGGACCAGTAGGAGAAATGTGAACATTGAAGAAAATGTACAGGTTTGGGCACATGAAATATATTCAGTGTAAATACCTTCTATGGCTTCAGACTCAGGACAAGAGTGTATACTGTGTCCCTCAAAGAGGACAGCCTGTTAGGCAAGACCTAAAGGGTCCTCTCTGAGAAAGCATCACTGAGCATCGGCTTGAACTGTTTTCAGAATCCACCATTCCTAGTGCACAAAGGGACACTGTTTTCTAGTCCCTTAGCAGACCTTCTCACTTGGAAAATTGTCCAGCTGTGCGCTGAACATTAGGGTTGCATCTTGCCTTTGCTCAAGGGCTTTTGATATACAGTTCAGCCACACACACACCATAATGTGTCTTTAAATGTGGCAGAGAGAAACTTAGCTGTCTCTACCCCCCCCCAAAAAAAAAAACTTTCTGGTCATTAACAATTTGTCATGGTAAAAAGCCTCAGTGCATCCAATTTGCAGCTTATTTAATGGAAAGAAGAGTTAGAAAGGTTCATTTGTTTGGTTTTGTTTGTATATTACTATAGCATCTGTCACCATAAAGAACCCCTAACAGACATGTCAGAGTTAAGAAAAAAAGCAGACAGGAGGGCACCCTTCCCACCTTCTCCTTCCTCTCTGATCTCTATGAGGAGGCTTTGAATGCCCAGACCTCCTGTGGCATTAGCTTTCCAGTTGACTGGACAGAGTCCCACAGAATGATCTGCATTTAATCCACCATCCCACTTACTATCCATGTCTTGTCATTTTAATGTGTGGCCATGTATTGCAAAGACAGGAAGTTTCTAGTGGGCAAGTTCTGAGATTAATTCTCCTCTGTACACATCAAAGAGTAATAATAATCACCTTGAACTTGGAAGTTCAAAGTTTTTTTTTAATGTAGTGATTAGGCACTCTATCCTAGAGATTTATATTAAAATATCCATTACTTATTATTACAGCTTTGAGGCTAAGCTCAGTAGCTTGCCTGACCAGTCATTAATTTACTCCAAATGTGGCAGAAAATTCTTTACTTCATTTGCCCTCTTACTCACCTACTCTTTCATTGGTTCTCACACGTTGGTCCTTCATTTGTCCATCCAACCTCCAGATCTCTGCAAACACTGAGCATGAGATAGCTATGGTACAGAAAGATAGAACAGGTAAGCCACGCCTTCTTCCATGAGGCCGGCTTGCCTAGTGGACACTTTCACTCAGGCGTGCTGTGCTGTTACTTCTCCTCTGCTTACTTTTAGTTTCTCTGGATCTTGTAAGTTCTCCTGGAATTCCTAGTCCTGGGTGGGTGTTGGTAGTCATGACCTTTTGACAAATCTGTAGTCACTGCTTGGGACCCTGTGAGGCCCTCAAGTTAAATTTTGGCTTTCACCTAGGCGATAAATGACATGATGACACCTAGGCATTTTTGTTTCGTGACTCCAAGCAAATTGTTTCTTTAGAGTTAACTTACCTCCTCCTCTGGGCAGTTTACTTGTCACTGACTACATAGTACTGTGGGACTACACAGTGCTTGGTGCTCAGTGGTCTGGGGAATGAATAAATGACCTTGGACCTTATTTATTCACCCTTCCTTGGTTGTATGACTTCAGCAGTTTACTTAGCTCATCTCCCAAAGGGAGAAAAATTAAGTAACTCTGAAAGGCAGTTGCATGGTATAAGATACAGGGCAAAAATTCACTAAACTGTTTTTCTTAGGTAGGACCCTGGTCTCATGTAGCCTAGGCTAGCCTCAAGTTTACTTTGTAGCCAAGGATGACTTTGAATTCTGATCCTGCTGTCTCTACTTCTCTAGTACTGGAATTGCAAGCATATGCTACCACATATAGCCATGTGGGGATCAAGTTGTTAACCCACTTGATTACAGCAACCTAAACATTGTTTTATATGTTATCTGTGAACTTTATCATGACCCCAGAACGTCTGCATTTGTTTACTGATCTAGGTGGCCTTGTCTGAAGGATCTGGTGCTGGGAATAGGCAGAGCTGTGGATGCAAGGAATACAGACTTTGGGGCTGGGAATCCAGCCTACAATTCCACAATTCCAGTTTGTTCTTCTTCTAGATGTGGCTTTGGGCAGATCCATTAACCTGCAGAGTCTCAAAAAAAAAAAAAAAAAAAAAAAGCCAAGTGTCCAGTGTATAAGAAGGGGTTACATTTCTTTTTCTTCCTCCACTGGGATTTGAACCCAGGGCCTTGCTAGGGAAGTACTTGACCACTGAGCTATATCTCTAAACACCTCCCCCCTTTTTTTTCTCTTTTTTAGCCTATATTGGCCTTGAATGTGCTGCTTCAAACTCTCAGTCTTCCTGCCTGAGCTTCCTGTGTGCTGTGATTAGACAGACATAAGTTCTACCATACCCAGCCAGCCCTTGGTTTTGTTGTTCTTGTTATTGTTTTTGAGATACTTTGTAGCTGTGTAGCCCCATCTCTAATCCTCCTGCTCTTTCTCCCGAGTACTGAGGTTACAATTGTACCACTTTCCTCTGTGAAGATGGTATACTTTAACAATAAATGCTAGTTTTTTCCTCCCTTATTTTGAATCTCTTATTCCAGCTGAGAACAGAGAAAGTTATAGAAGTTTTAGTTTTAAAAACCATTGTGTTAAAAGAAGGTGTGTGGATGGGAGGGTTGAACCCAGAAAATAGTAACTAAATGTCCACGAACCTACTAAAGGATGGATAAGATGCAGGGAATATTCTAACTTGCTCCCAATATCAGCACTGTAGAAAATGAGGTTAACCGTTCTTTGTTGTGGTCTTGGTGACTCTGAGGAATCTATATAAAGATTAATACTTTCTCCTTTCCACTTGTGCTTCCTAATAGCACCTCACAAATACTATATTGGATTCCGGTACGTCCATCCTTTAACTGAAGAAGCAATTGAAGAGATGGAGAGAGATGGACTGGAAAGGGCCATTGCTTTCACACAGTATCCACAGTATAGCTGTTCCACCACAGGTACGGGCATCTCCTTGGCCATGGAAGGTGGCTTTAGCCCTGGCAAGTTAACCAGGGAGCCTGGGTGCCAAAAGAATGATCAGTCATTTTTGATTTGAATGGCAGATCTGCTTGTCTCCTTTAAACTTGAGAGTTCAGCTCCATCCATTTGAAATCGCATGATTCATCTGTTTCTTGAATTATGGCTGGTCAGCTGAGAATTACTGGATGGAAGTAATGGTGGATGGAAGATGCTGGCTGTGCTTGGTTGGTACTTTAACACAGCTGGTTAACAGATCAGCAGTGAGCCTTACATCACTTTCTAGCTTTGTATCACAGTCTGCTCTGATATTCCTATTAAGGTAGTAAAGGGAATGGCAGTTTCCATTTTGAAAGCAGAAATGCCCATATGGTATGGGATATGATGGTGGTTTTGTGTCTGTCTTTCATTTAGTTAGGAGTTACCTGTTGGTTAACTCAAACCCCAGCTTGAAGGCTTGAACTAAAACTCAGTTTGCAGACTTCTCTGGGCTCTTGATTTCGGAATGCATTGCTCCATGCTATTCTTTGTCTACGTAACTGAAACTGGAGAGTAAGCCTGGGATCTGTGTGTGCTCTCAGCATGGGCAAAGCTTCTCTTGCCACCCACAAATACATTTGTTTATATTCTCTCAAGGATCTAGGTCAGCACATTTCTATTCCAGTTTTGCTTTTAAAAATTAATGTGATTGCCAGACATGGTAGTACATACCTTTAACCCCAGCACAGAGGCAAATGGATCTCTGTGAGTTTGAGGCTGGTCTAATCTATAGAGTGAGTTCCAGGCCAGCCAGGGCTACATAGTGAGATCCTGTCAAAAAAAAAAAATTGATGTTATTGTAATTCAAAGAAGCAAAAGACTATCAGAAGAAACATTGAGAGTATGTAGTATACCTTAAATACTGGTTCAGAGCACCTGTTAAAATACCCAAGTTCAGTGGCTAGGAGGACTTACTCTTAGTTCCCAGCACACACTTGGTGGTTGATAACTGTAATTCCAGTTCCAGGGAATCTGACACCCTCCACAGACATGCATGTAGTACACATGCATATATGCAGGCAAAACACTCATACACATAAAATAAAAGTGACTAAGTCTTTTGTTAAAATGTCTCAGTTCTCAAAAAAAAAAAAAAAAAA